AGCATAACCTGGACCACGTTGACGAGCTTGATTTTCTTGTTCGTCATGTTCTGGATGCAGGTCTGGAGTCCGGTCAGCTCTACCGAAGAATCCTAGGACAAGCCCTTCTTTTTCCAGGAGGTGAGCCGCGTGGGGATTCTGGATCAAAATTTGGGGCCGCCACCCAGTTGGAGTCGCGCGGCTCGGTGATGTAGAACCACCTCGATTGCCACCCGTTTATGGTATCCACGTAGGTGCCCTCGAGCCAGGTGACATTAGGCATCTTGCCCACCATGGCGCCTCCGCACTATGCTTGCTGGCCACCCACCACCTTCAGTTTGACAGTGAAGGTTTTCAGCCATAGGCCGAAGTGGGGCCTGATGCGGAGGAAGGCCTCGCACACGACGATAAACGCCGCGATGTTGAGGATGAAATTGGGGGCCAAATCATGAAAATCCAGCCCGTAGTAGAACATGAGCCCGCGGAGAAACGTGTGGAGAGGAAATCCCAGTCCGCGGACGAAATGGGTAAGAAAAACTACCCTCTCATGGGGTTCAGGCGTGGGGACGATCTGCCCCGCATTTGGCAGCCGGTGCGCGATATCCGCGGCCAAGTATCCGGCTTCCCGTAACTTTTTGATGTTCTCCTCCGTGACGGAGGAGACCATCCACTTGTCTCCTGCTCCGGACATGATTGGAGTGGTTTGAGAAGAAGAACGCGAGCTTGGGCACTAGAGCTCGCGTGTGCGGGAGTGGGTAAGCGAGAAGGAAGAAGGCGTGGGTGAAAAAAGTAAATCTTTGTCCCTTTATAAGGACGGAGGAGGCGATGTGTCTCCCCACTTGCCTGGCAAAACCACTTATTCCCCAGGCACTGTAATTGATGGCGCGGTTGGGTTACCCACGTCCGTATTGATGAGAATCCTGTGATAAGGGGAACACGATCTCTGCTTTGACAAGACATATCAAGAAAACCGCCTCGCGATATGTGCAGAGCTGGTTGAGAAAAGCGGTTCGAATAATAACCGAGCCATGTTATGATGTCATGCTGTCAAAACGTGTCAGCAAATTAGATTTGTGGAAATATTATTCCCTCTACGGTGGTATGTGGAACTTATTTTGCAGGGTCGGACACTATCCTTGCGTTCAAACTCTTCCATGGTGTATTCCGAGGAGGAACCCGCCTTGCAATGCCGAAGACAACACTGCGCGCCGGACTCATCGTCATTGAAGCCTGGTTCAGGGGCTACTGAGGGAGTCCTGGATTAGGGGGTCTCCAGACAGCCGGACTATATCCTTTGGCCGGATGTTGGACTATGAAGATACAAGATTGAAGACTTCGTCCCGTGTCCGGATGGGACTCTACTTGGCGTGGAAGGCAAACTAGGCAATACTGATATGTATATCTCCTCCTTTGTAACCGACCTTGTGTAACCCTAGCCCCCTCCGGTGTCTATATAAACCGGAGGGTTTTAGTCCGTAGGACAACATACAATCATACCATAGGCTAGCTTCTAGGGTTTAGCCTCTTTGATCTCGTGGTAGATCAACTCTTGTAATACTCATATCATCAAGAACAATCAAGCAGGATGTAGGGTATTACCTCCATCGAGAGGGCCCGAACCTGGGTAAACATCGTGCCCCTGCCTCCTGTTACCATCCGCCTTAGACGCAAAGTTCGGGACCCCCTACCCGAGATCCGCCGGTTTTGACACCGACATTGCCCTTTCGCGCTTATCTTCGACAATCATGTTGTGCAAGATTAACAACATGTTATCAGCTTCCACAATATATGTGGTTCCCACATCATTGTAGTTTCACGAAGAATGCCCTAATGAGATTGGAGCACTACGAATGCGCTCCTCACATCTTTCTGTTGGAGATATATCCTAGAGGCAATCATGTGTGGATGATATTTTCTAATGTGTTTATGAATCAATATAGTCCTTAGGTGATATCAATATCAAATTTGGGCAAGTACATGACTTGTCTATGAGATCCTACATTGTATGATACGTTCTAAATAGTCCCAGGTCTGGATGTAATGTGCGGACTCATATAAAAATAGACCGGTATACAACACAATGGATGGCTTAGTCTCGCTAGCCATGTAGCATTCGATGCTAGTGGGATTGCATGGACCTGATCGGATTTGGGGTCGGCCATAGGAGACCGGAGCCGGGCTCAGAAGGATGCCAGGTCGGACAGACCCAACCATGAGAGGCAAGGATAGGTCATTTGTTAGTCTCTATTACGACATGCATTCTGTGTCCTAAGATCTGAGCTAGGCACATGGACTCAGGATGGTGATCGACTTGCTTTGGGCCGATCAAATGTTGCTCCATAACAGGGTAGTTTTAAAGACTAGTTACAGACTTGTCTAGATCCATGTCATGAGACATGGTCGAGCAAGATGAGATTTTCCCCTTCGACCTGGAGAGATATACTCTGGCCCCCTAGTGTGATCCGACCTGAATAAGCATGGTCATGCCATAAGGATTATGAAATAATCTGGTGTTGAGGCCAGCATCACAAGACGAGAAAGAGGGCGGAATGGATCAAGGATCGCTGATTCACTTGAGCGTAGGCAACATATACGGTGAGGCAAAAAGAATAGAAGTGTGACACGTTGTACATGTTCGCCAAATCGGCTTCACTTGTCACTTAGTAAGTGTGACGCGTTGTATAGTTTCACCAAACCGGCTTCATTGTTCACTTGAAGATTGATGGTTTTGCTAGAAGCTGCTACCAACCGATAAGGTCAGATGTGATTCAATCTGCGGCCAAGTCGACCCGAACCTAAGGGGCCATGTGTTAAGGGAAGGGGCCTACGAGGTCAAATCTGACTTTGTAGGTTGGATCTGATTCGACCTAGACTTGGATCTGGGCCGAATAAACTTTGGGCTCGAGAGTCTTAGGTCATGTTGGTGAGCTTACAGTTGTCTCATGGAGCGATGCACTTCGTGTTAGGGTGAGGAGGTAGGTGGTCCCCTTCGGTGATAGACAAATGGTATTGTGACCATGTCCTCTCTTCTTGAAGCAAGCGTAGATTTCACCTCCCTTGCGTTTAATTTGTTGTCTCACACATATTGGGGGTGCCTTGGTAATCAAGCGTCTTAGGCTCTTAGCAAGCGAGGGCGTTGATAGTCAGTCAAGACATTTTTCGTTTTATCCTTTATCATTTGTTTGCCTGTTGCGTTTTTTAGGAATAACATGCTTTATTGATCAAGGATAATCAAGAGAAAGTGCCTCCCAGATACAATCTGGGGTTACATGAAAAATAGAGTCATTAGAGGACTCAGAGGAACTAGGTAGAATATGCGCCGCGATATTTGACAAACGATTTACATGACTAAAGCAAATGGACGAGAAGAATGACACCAACTCCTTAATATCAGCAGTGATGAGCCCCACCGGCAATTGATCAACCATCAAAGTATTGGTTCTCTAGATAACGGACAAACAGTCTAACTGGAGAACAACTCATGGAAAGCCTTAGCGGTAGTCAACATAACCTCATCAACGTAGCGGTAGCGGTAGTCCTTTAGCTAATCCTGGGGTAGTAACCTCATCAACGTGCTTGCGGCAAGCAGTAAGCAATCTCCGATGTGGTTCATGATTACCACGCCAATTCTTATCCGTCAAGAAACCTTAAAGAGTGTAGCATCCACATTAACCGTCACTGCATCTACCGGCAGCGGAACCCATTTAATAGGAGAAACTAGACTATCACACCTTGAAGCAATTACAGTTCTACCACAATTTTGCACAATGAAGTCAACATAAGCCAAGGCTTTCTCGGCCACTCTGCGTGGATGCATCTTAGCATCATTTTTTCTTGCATCATTACTGACCTTCCAAATGTGCCAAATTGTTACCACTAAAGGCGTGGCCTCGAGAGAGGTAGCTCCCAAGCAGCATGTGTCCGGTTCGGACGTTTGGGGTTTCATCCTCGGCTCATCTTCTATAATGTTTTGGTTAGTCTTATCTATAAAATGAGTCGACAACCTGTTTTGTGATTGCTAAATGGTGAAAACTTTTACTAATGTTTCATCTACATTGTTTTTCATATTTTTTTTTACCTCAATGCAATACAAACTACTATGAAACTTGAAGAATTATTTTTATTAAGCTTGCACAATCATTAGTCCCGGTCGATGGAACGGCGCGATGATGCTGTTATCAAAAGGCGTTGATGGAGCCATGGAGTGGACGCTACGGGACCAGACTTGCTTAGATTATTACCAACTCTTTCGTCCATCGAAGTCTATGGAAACTCACCGATCACCGCTCGCATGGATATGAGCCATTCATGCTAATTGATCAACTCATATTATTGCCTACATTCCCTTAAACAGCACGCCATAGCCGCCCTCACAGTTCCCTGCTCCAAAAGCATCACTCGGCAAGCTAGCACTAGGCAGGCCAGCAGCTGCCCCTGCCCATGCTCCCAAGAAACTCCGAGACGTCAGGCTTTACATGCAGCTTACGCGTTGCTTAAAACCATGAATTACTCCAAGAAACTCCTTGTGAAAGAGCTTACAAGTTTACCATTGGTGCATTTCTCGGCTCCAAGCAGTAGGTTGAAACGAGGAAATGTAAGTGTAAGAAACTTAACGGATGCTGTTGTTCAGAACAAAGACAGGAACAATGAAAATTTCCTCTGCTCACAGGTACAGGAAAGGACGTACTCCGAACTAAACAAATGTTTTCGACTTACGAAGCTGCGATAGGAGATGATGACAACAAGGAGAAGATCAGAGTATTTAAATGTGCTAGAAACTGGGAGCATTGTCACATTCGATCAGAAGTTCAGAACAGGGGGCCACCGGAACAACAACAACAAGAGCTCGCGTGCATCGCCAGGGCTCCATCGTCCGATTCAGAGCCCCCAAGTCCCTCGCGAGTAACCGGAGAAGAAGGCGAGGTTAAAACCTCACCATATTTACACTTGCAAGAACCTCGTCGAGAACTGGATCCTTCTCAGTCGAAGCAGGCGGGCAAGAACCGGATCCTTCTCGGTCGTCACGGCCTCACGGAGCCGCCGCATGTGTAGTACTGGTCATCGGCGGCGGTGGCCGGCATGTCGTTGTGGCACGCCGACGAGCCCGACGGCGGCACGAACCCCCGGGGCAGCATCGCCGAGAACGCCCACGCGCCGGTGCCTCCGCCGCGGTCTGCTCTCCTCCTCCTTCCCCCGCCGACCGGTCGTCTCCCCGCGCCGTTCTTGGCCACGCTTGCATCATGCAATGGCGTCGTCGCCACGTGGAAGCCCTGCCCCGCCGATGCGCTCGGGGGCCCCGCCGCCGCGATGGCAGGGGAGGAGGACAGCAGAAGAACGACGATGATCAGCACCAGAACAAGAAGTGGGGGGTGCCGCGCGGCGGTGGAAGAAGCCATAGCCATAACAGCAGGAGGAAGATGAAGATAGCGCGTGGCGTGGAGGCGTACGTGCATGCGACTGCGAGGAGAAGCTGGCGTCGAGGATGCGGGGCTCTGGTTGCTTTTGATCTTGCTTTTCTTGCAGCAACTTGCGAGATGGTGAGATCTTGTCTGCCTCCCTTATAAGGACGGGTTTTGACCGGCGTGGTTCTCTGAGCCGGGGGGCAGGCATCGCCTTAGATTCAGGCTCGAGTGAATTGAAATATGACAAGAGCTCATAAAACAGAGTCGATTAGACTGAGTTTTTTCCCCTTTACTGCACTCACATTCACAGCGCACGGACACTCATGTTTAAAAAATGGGCATTTCTTTGGATTGGTGTTGTGTTTAGTTCGAATGCCATTCTTCGAATTACCGTAATTTAAAGAAAGTGTGCCTCTTGGGTCTTGACTTCCCCTCTTCTATACTTCTCAAAATTCAGTTCAGAATAATTTCTGAAAACTGATAAAACAGCAACATCCAAAATGGTGTCTGCACCCCGGCGTCACGGTCCAGGACTCAAAAGACCACCTTACAGCTAGAACATCTGCCCAGCACATCAACCATGCAAGAGGTTGTTACAGACTGCACAGACGGCAACACAGCGGGTGTGAAGCAGAGCACGGCGAACTACAGCTACAAGGTAGTACAAACAAAGTTATGCTGCAACTCACACTCAAAACGAAGCCTCAGAGCTATGCTGCAGAACAGCAACCACAAACTACGAGTACGAACTAAGCATAACATCAACCAGCCGCGCGCGGCAGGCGCCCTATGTCTGTGTTAGATCCAGCTTTGATTCCCAGCCAGCGATCCTGAACACCAGCGTGAATGCGTGATGGTCTGCTATTGTGAAATAATCGTGTGATGGTCCGTTGGTTTGATGACATGACCAAAATTATCAATCAAATGTTTCTTTTCTTCATCGGAAACTACGAACTCTTATTTCTTTCCGACGCGTATTCTTTTGCTAGTCGATGGGTTAAATGTGGAGGGTACCGTATTTCCTAGTACTGTCGACCTAGCATGATGATGACTCCGTCCAGCCATCCAGGAAGGTTGGGCCTGATCTGAGACGAGGTCGGGGTGGGTTGCTAGCCTGGAACGGAACAGCCTCGGCTGCCAGCATCCTCGGGGAACCGGAATCTGAGGAGAAGAATGAATGCTCCAGCTTCATGCCACAGCTGTCGGATTCAAAGCAAAGAAGACGCTGTCCTTTCCTGTCCTGTTCGGACTTGAGAATGGACAGGCGTAGTGTAGTTTTTGGCAGAAGAATGGCACACAGTTGGAAGAGCGGCATCAAAGAGTGAGAGTCATGCTAGGGTTTAGCAAGAAAAGAAAACTACATGGTCGTCAGTCTTAAAAGATGATTTGCCGGCTCAGTCTAGGGATAGGGTGTGTATGCGTATGTTTATAGAGATAAGTGTATGTGCGTATGTATGAGCATGTGCATTTATACAGTGTTTTTTTATAGAAAAAAGAGCTTGGCTAACGCTGTAACAGCAACTTGATTCAGAACCTCAACCCGAGTCTGACTAATACAACATGTCTCAGTTCTGCCTTCCTGTGACATCTGCAGAAGGTTGCAAGCTGCCAAGCTGGGCTTGGAGGAGGTTATTTATCAAGTTGATTATAAGGGATTCGAGGGGACATCAATTCGAAGTGGACGCCGGACCGCATGTACTACGCACGCTGTGCGTACATAGCCCAATTGTTGATAGCTGGTCTGAGATTGCTTATTATTATCACACCGCCCGTGTGGTCGTACATAGCCGAATTTGAAGGGTTCAGTTCACGCGTCTGCATATAATATGTAAATCGAGGACACCGCATGATTTCAGTTTTATGCAGCGGATTTTTTCGAAGGAAACGGTGGACACACTGCAGTGCATGAACAACTTGAGCTTTCATTTATTTTTTCAATGACGTGTCACTGGATGCAAAGTGTAATTTTTATGATGTTTATTGCATCCTTAAAACTAGGTGATTACCCCGCGCGTTACTACCGGATTTTAAAGATTAATTCTGGATAATTTTTATATGAATGAAAAGATCTAATTCAAAAGCTATTATTTTTGAAAGCAATTGTGTGTGAACAAAGAGTATGCATTTACACTGAATCATTGGAGATGGAACAATTAAATTGGGCTATACATGTGTTTCAAAATAGTTTTAGCGAATAATAATGTGGCACACTTAATGATGTGACGGACTGCATGTTAAGAAAATTAGAGTTAGCGAAGATATCAAATATTTAGGTATTATAGGTACCTACATCCACATGCAAACCGTTTAAACCAGCGCATAAGCTTCAATGGCGTGTCAAACGGTGATATTGAAAGAAAAAGTTTCATTTCCCCTGCATCGGAATGCATATAACCGTTTAAAGTTTCATTTTCCTATTACTCCCGTCAATCCGAATTAACTGACGTAGCGTCCATACAGTGTCAGTGAGTACTTTCTCCACTCGGTTTTTATAAGGCTCATTTATATTGCCTTAAGTGCACAAACTTATAAAAAAACATCTACAACTTCCTGTAAATACAAAATTGAAAATACTTAATGATAGGACTAGTAGTACTCCCTCCATTCCAAAATGTAGTGCTTCGTCTATCCCTGTGCTTCAACTTTGACCATAAATTTAACTATTAAAATCGATTGCGGCGGGAGCAAAAATTATATCAGTGAATTCGTATTCGAAAGAAGTTTTTAATTATATAATTTTTTCTCCCGTCGCAGTTGGTCGCGTTGGTTAAATTTATGGTCAAAGTTGAACCTCGGAAAGCACAAGCGCACTATATTTTGGAACGGAGGGAGTATTGATTTGATACAATTGATGTTGATATTTTCTCGCTAAATTTGGAAAACTTAAACAATTCTGATGGATAAATGAGACTTGTCGAACAAATGACATCCTTAAATAAGAAACAATCAACCGAAAAATTACTAGGCCTCCTTAAGCATGAATCTAAGCAGCAAGAAGCCCGAAACCTAATTTGGCTATAGGGAGCACGTGCTCCTGCACGTGAAAATGTTTTTTGAAATGCCAAAAAATTCCAACAATTTCTTTATGTATTCATAGTCACATCTAAATGCTACCTGTAAATTTTTAGGCAAAAAGTTAAACATTCTGGACTCTGCACAAAAAACAATTTGAACATCTAGTGTCACCCAAGATTATTTTTTCACCCAAATCTAGGCCCTGTGGGCCCCACTGGGCCTGGGCGGGCCGGCGGCGGGGCGGGTCTGCGGCGTGACTTCCGGGAGACAGGGGAGCGGCGATGAGCGGCTGGGTGCTGGCGACACCGACACCGGCTTATCGCAGCATGGCCGGCGAGGCTTAGCGGGCCCGTTTCGGGCCTGACTGGGCCAAGGATGGCCTGGTATGCCCTGCTGCCCTGGTGGCGCGAGCCTCTCGCATGACGGCGGCGGAGGTGGTTCCCTCCCACTTGGCTTTGGTGCAGCTGCTCCCGTCGCTTGGCACTTTCACTACAAGGGAAAACTCTAGTAGTAGTGCGGGGACCCGCGCTACTGATACGGCGCTACAACTAATAGTTATTAGTAGCGCGGTCTATACCCGCGCTATTATTATTGACTATATCAGCATCGCTTTTACGGAACGTGCTACTATTAAGTAGCTGTAGCGCTTTTCTATCCCCGCTCTACTTCTGTATCTTTTATCATTTTTCTTCCCTGCCCGTTTCAATAAATTGCAGTTTCACATGTACCAGATAACAATATCATTGACCACAATACCATATAATCATACAATAGTCATACAATATCATAAAGCATTATAGATACTCATACATAGTGAACATGCATCCTCACATGAATATAGCATTTATGATAAGCAGTGCTAGATAGTCTAACAGACACACACATATGTAATTCTAGCTAGATGATATCGACGACGATCATCATCCTCAAGCCTGGGCGGTGGGTGTTCCTGATAGTAATTAGGATGTCCTATCCAACACGAAGATTCTTGCCAACGAGGAATCTCTTTCACCCAACCGAGCTTAAGTGTGTGCGACCGTCCATGTCCATGCGGTAAGTACAGGTGGTGACGGAGCCCCTTGCGGTAAGGCGTAGTCCAGCTGAGCCTTCTTCACGAGGCTTGATACCACAGCTCACCGATAGGCTCTTTGGCAATTTCTGAATGAGAAAAACATATCAATTAATAAATAGCCTTGCACATACTCTTGCAAATATATTTCTATTAAGTATAGATTTCTACACTATCAAAAGACACAGTACTACACATTTGTACCAAACATGAATTCTACTAATAAGTATGTATGGATTATCTACATAATAGTTCCTTGAATTCTACACTAATAAGCATGTGATCGGACTCTACACTAAAGCATAGTCGATTCCACACAGCATATCATTGGACTCTACACTAAGCATATCATCGGATAATTTGCATTTGTAAGTATAGCATACCATATCATGCCGATCGACCATGGTACTTGTCAGGTGGGTCACGAATGGCACCCCGACAAAGTCAACATGTGGCGGAATTATGTCTCATAGGTTCCACACCTCCTCCTCGCTCAGCCTCATTCTTTGAGCTACGATGGCTTCATGAAGTGGGTCATCATCATATTCATCGAGTGGGTCCTCATTATCTTCATCATCTTCCACCAGGTTGATATAAATGACAGCTAGATTGGGTCTTTCTGCTCTGAAGGAGAAGCTGATCAACTCATCACCAGTAAGACGCATGCGGGCGAGGAAACGGGCCCATCCATCTCCTCCAATCTGCAACATATTGCGTCCTTTCTCGACCTCCATAGTGTATGGCCCCCATGAGCCTCAAATGTCACAATGTCTCCTGTCAACTTGTTGAATTTCAACCCTCATTGCATGGGACGATCTGTGTAAAAAAAGCAAAATGACACAATGCAGTAATGTCAACACTAAAAATAAAATAGTTTTTACATTTCATATAATTTCTTACCGCCGCATGA